CTTCTTGTTTTTCTTTTTGCTCACCATTATAACTCATTGTAATAAAAATATTTTGAGTGTAAAGTTTGAGATGATATCATATTGTTATGAATTTTAAAATCCATTTTCCCTTAATAATGTGATTTTTTTTTGTGTAGGAAAAAAAAGTACAATTATTGTCGTAATAGAAATGTTTTGCAAAGTCTTGGTTTATTATTGAAAGTGTTTGTTGTGGACACTTATTTGTATGACATGTATGTATATATGTATAGTTGATATGAGAATAATACACAATTTCGCAATTTTTTTTCCCTAACAAATGTAATATATTACTAAATCGATACATGTTAAAAACTTAAAGTATCCGATAGTAATATAGTATTACAGATTGATAATGTATGAATATAGAAACATATATAAATTTACATTTATATATATATATATATATATAGACATTGACATATATAAGATACTACAAAAGTAATATGTAAAATCTTTTGTAACAATATAATACAGTTAACAATGAGAAGTTAATTATTCATTATTAAATAGTTGGTCATAATGTAGATATTTAGTGTTACATTTTTGTGTGTATGCACCATTTTTTAATTAGATTATTAAATTCACATAAAAATTGAAAGGAATTTGTGAATAATTTGTGTAAAATTAGAGATTATTGAAGAAAGATTTTAAAAAAGAGAAGTTTATAGTGTTTGGTTTGGTTTGTTTTTTCAAACTTTTATTTTGAATTTTTTGGTTTTCATGTTTTTTTTTGTCTTTGACATTGTTTTTTAATAACTCTTTTATTTTCTTTTTAGATTCACTCAATTTAATACATTTTTATTTTTTAATTTTACTTGTAGATTTAGATTCACTTAATCTAGATACACCTAGAAAATGATTTGTTGTGTATTCTTTTTAGAAAAAAATTATTAATATTAAATAATAGTAAAAATAATAACAAAAAATATAATAAAAAAATAGTACATGTTTGAATTTATAAATTTTTTTACTAATATTTGGATTATTTGATATATATTAGATTTTCATGTAAAAGCATAATTTAAACATAATATGCAAACTTTTGAGATGTAGCATAAATCTCTGTTTTAAAAACACATGTAGTTTCCTCTATCTAGATTCAAACGAATGCATACAATTTTAAAATTCAATCAAAATTATCAACAGTGATTTGATCTATGATGGATAATTGTAAATATTATGTATATCAGTATAGAAGCAGACATAAGAAATAAGAAAAAAGTAATTATTTTTTATTTTTCAATCATCATCAATGTAAAAAGTAGAGAGACGGGTTATTTATTTATTTATTTTTATTTTTATAAGAAGGGATATGATTTGTTTATATTTATATAGAATTCTTGAAAGTAGATATATCATTTTTTAGTGTTCAAATCTAAAAATAAAGAGATAGTTAGTTTGTATAGGACTCTTTGTGATTCAATCAAAATTATCAACAGTGATTTGATCTATGATGGATAATTGTAAATATTATGTATATCAGTATAGAAGCAGACATAAGAAATAAGAAAAAAGTAATTATTTTTTATTTTTCAATCATCATCAATGTAAAAAGTAGAGAGACGGGTTATTTATTTATTTATTTTTATTTTGATAAGAAGGGATATGGTTTGTTTATATTTATATAGAATTCTTGAAAGTAGATATATCGTTTTTTAGTGTTCAAATCTAAAAGTAAAGAGATAGTTAGTTCGTATAGGACTCTTCGTGACTTTTAGAAAATATAATAGATTTGAGAGAGTAAAATTGAAATTTAAAAAAAATAGAAAACATGACAGACTATTCACACTTTTATAATAGTAGTAGATTTACATTAGGTATATCTAAAAAATAAACAAATTGCGTAAAATATTTAAAAAATTCAGTAAGAAGAAAAAAAATATGGAAAACAAAAAAAAAATCAATTTTCTAAAAAATGGACTTAATTTTCTGGAACCAAATATTAAAAAATAATTAGTTATTTAAGGTTAAATAATAATAATTGGATTCACAATATTTAAAATATTATTTTGTTTGTTAAGAATTTCCAATGAAACCAGATATTTGAATAATATTCCCATGAAGTTTATTACTGATAATGAGATTTTCTTTCCTCCTCAAGGTTTAGTCATTCGAACATATATTGTTAAAAAAAAAAAATTATTTGTAATATATTTATTTTTTAATGGAGTAATATTTATTTTTCCCTTATATGTTGTTGAGATTAGACACGTTATTTAGAATAAAAAATATATATAATGACCACTTCAATTTTGTTTATTTACTTTAAATATAGCCAATAAAAGTCTCTCTCTCTCTCTATAACCAACTTATGAAGGCAAAATAATATAAAAAATGTTATGAACCCTACCTTAATTAATTCGAATCTATACTATCTATATAAGCAAATCTAGTGATTTCTTAAAAAATTCTAAACTCTCAATCCTAACATCTCATGAACCTCTTTCCTACGTGGCACATCCATTCTTCTTTGATTCTATTTTCCTATTTTTTCTTATCTTTTTTTTATATTTTTTATTTCACTTTTTAATTACTTATGGCATGGATATAAAAGATTTTCAAAATATTTAATTTCTACCTCATTAGTGGTCCATTAGTGCTCCCAAATTAGTGGGATGAATCATTGTTGAAAAAAAAAGAGAGATTTTGGTGAAACCCCCCTTTTGGGCCTTTTTATTAGGGTAAAGGATAACCCAATTAATTTTCTTTCAAAAAGTGCCTGAGTAAGAAATGCTTATCTTAATAAGGACATTTTATAATTTCTATTTTTTTTTATCACAATATTGCCCTTATATATATAGTATCATACGTATGAAAAATTTGAAATCTGAGCTCGTAGCCGATGAAGACGATCTCCAAATCGATCATACTTCACAAAATCGATGAAGACGATCTCCAAATCTGAAGATCTCGCAGCCGTTACATTCCTCATTCAAGATTTTAAGAATATATGTATATATATATATATATATATTTGTGTGTATGAGTGTTGTTGAACATATGTATTCTTTTCATTGAGATTTGTGATTGTTGATCGAGTTTTAGAAGTTTTTCTTCTCAATTAGATATGTTGATTTGTTGATTAATTTGTTTTGTTTTTGTTTGTTTTGTTTTTGATTTATTTTTGTTGTTTTTTTATCAAATTTCATTTGATAGAACCAGAGTAAAATTTTACTCTGGTTCTATTGTTCTGTTTTTTCATTTGACAGAACTAGAGTAAAATTTTACTTTTATACAGAGTAAAATTTTACTTTTGTGTAGAGTAACATTTTACTAGTTTTTCAGAGTAAAATTTTACTTTAATACAGAGTAAAATTTTACTTTTAGCTTCAAAGTCTCACAGTTTACTCATTTTTCAGAGTAAAATTTTACTTTTATACAGAGTAAAATTTTACTTTTAGCTTCAAAGTCTCACAGTTTACTCATTTTTCAGAGTAAAATTTTACTTTTATACAGAGTAAAATTTTACTTTTAGCTTCAAAGTCTCACAGTTTACTCATTTTTCAGAGTAAAATTTTACTTTTATACAGAGTAAAATTTTACTTTTAGCTTCAAAGTCTCACAGTTTACTCATTTTTCAGAGTAAAATTTTACTTTTATACAGAGTAAAATTTTACTTTTAGCTTCAAAGTCTCACAGTTTACTCATTTTTCAGAGTAAAATTTTACTTTTATACAGAGTAAAATTTTACTTTTAGCTTCAAAGTCTCACAGTTTACTCATTTTTCAGAGTAAAATTTTACTTTTATACAGAGTAAAATTTTACTTTTAGCTTCAAAGTCTCACAGTTTACTCATTTTTCAGAGTAAAATTTTACTTTTATACAGAGTAAAATTTTACTTTTAGCTTCAAAGTCTCACAGTTTACTCATTTTTCAGAGTAAAATTTTACTTTTATACAGAGTAAAATTTTACTTTTAGCTTCAAAGTCTCACAGTTTACTCATTTTTCAGAGTAAAATTTTACTTTTATACAGAGTAAAATTTTACTTTTAGCTTCAAAGTCTCACAGTTTACTCATTTTTCAGAGTAAAATTTTACTTTTATACAGAGTAAAATTTTACTTTTAGCTTCAAAGTCTCACAGTTTACTCATTTTTCAGAGTAAAATTTTACTTTTATACAGAGTAAAATTTTACTTTTAGCTTCAAAGTCTCACAGTTTACTCATTTTTCAGAGTAAAATTTTACTTTTATACAGAGTAAAATTTTACTTTTAGCTTCAAAGTCTCACAGTTTACTCATTTTTCAGAGTAAAATTTTACTTTTATACAGAGTAAAATTTTACTCTTAGTTTCAGAGTGTAAAATTTTACTTTCATACAGAGTAAAATTTCACTTTCATACAGAGTAAAATTTTACTTTCATACAAAGTAAAATTTTATGAGGATAATATGGTAAAAGAAACAAGTTTTAAAATATTAGGGGGTTTTGAAAGTACTTATATAATTCTTGTTCTTTTGAAAGACAAATTAGATAGTGAGGGGGCTATCACCAAATCCCCCTTATCTATATCTTATATTTACAGAATCCACTCTTACTCTTAATTTTCAGTTGAACTTTTTTTTCTTCTAAAATGTATTTAATTAAATATAGTAAGATCACTAAATATATTATTTCAATACCCATCTAAATTAATATCATAGTATTTAATTGTTAATTTTTAGGATGTTCAACATTATTTACCATTTTTTGTTACTTGCCTGTGCATAGCACGGGTTACCGCTAGTTTACTAGGAAAGAGATTGGGTGGTTAGGATTGAGTTTGTGTTGTATGAAGTTCATGTATAGAATAAATCTAAACCACAAGATGATAATTCTGGATAATTTTTAGATAATTAATTCTGAATTTATAATATTATTGAAAGAATATATATTGCACTAAATTGGACATGGCCTCAAACTCCTTATGTTAAATTTGTGGGGATATAATTTTCAATATGTTCATCTAGCATGACCTCCGTTGAGGTGTCACATGGTGAAATGTGATTGGCCGAGGTATATGCAAGGCAATCCGTTGAGGTGTCACATGGTGAAATGTGATTGGCCGAGGTATATGCAAGGCAACCCATGACACTAGGCCAAGGTATTTGGTAAGGAACAAAAGTTCAAGAAGATGAATGCCTCTTAAGTTGGATGTATTTATGACTCTTCTAAGAGGTGAATCCTAACCCAACCAGGAGAGATGAATTCTAGATAAAGTATTGTTCCAGGATAAGTGTACGACTTGATCACTGCTTTTAAGAGGAGGAAGGCATCGCTATATAAAGGCATGCACACCCATGGGTAAGGTACACGACTTTATGTGCTATGGAGCTTACCGTTATTCTGTTGAAATATCTTTGAGATATTAGTTTATTGATTTTATCATCAGAGTGCCCATCCGGTTGACGAGCAACTAGATTAGTTATTCTTTTCATTTTGCCAGTGTGGATCATAGCTGCGTGTTTTACAACTATGTTTTCAGAAGTTCAAGAGGAAGATTAGATTTTGATTGTGTGGTCAAATTTTAACACACAAATGATTTTCCAAATTCTATATAAACTCACTATATATATGTACCATCACAATTTTTGCAATCGCTTCTTCAATTCAATTGAATGATAAAACTCTTCGTATCCTTTTCTTTCACTCATCAATTTCATAAGATTTTTTTGATAACCTTTTAGAAGTCTAACTTGTTAAAAGCATCTCCAACCCTTCACTAGTTTTTTTATCTAATTTGATTCTAAATTTGAATAAAAAACTTAATTTAATATGAAATACTCTAACCATTTCACCAATTTATTTATCAAAATCTTTTTTAAAAATTCCCGTCTTCTTCCAAATTTCCATTTTCATCAAATTTGATGGGGTAAAAAAAAAAAAACTCATCTCCAATGCTTAATCTTTTAAATTTTCATCAAATTCAAATTTGATAAATTCTCTATTTGATGAAAAAAAATGACTTTCTTGATTTGATGAATATTTGATGAAAGAATTAGAGATGATTTGATTTGATGTTATTTTTGTTAAAAAAATGCCCATAAATGTCGTCGGAAACCATCGTTAGAGCTGGTCACTGAAAACTATCGTTGGAGTTGGTCGTCGATGCTATAGGTGGCCGTAGGAAATTATCGTTGTCGGTGTTCGTTGGCGGCTAGAGACAACAACTGGAAGTGGTCACTGGCGAGGGAGGAAAGAATCGTAATAGGGATGAAGAAAGCGAATGAAGGGTATTTTAGGTATATTGATAGGTAAAAAAAGAACATGACTTATAGGTAAATAAGGCACCATTTGGAAATTGGCTAGTTTAGTTGACTTTTTATGAAAAAAAATATACAGAAAAATAAAGAGTGATGCAACAACTTACAATATTTTTTGACTTTTTGGTTAAAAACTATAGTTTCCAAACTACTCCTAAGTCATTGTTAAAAAAAAAAAACCTACTCCTAGGTCTAATCAAAAGGATTGGCCTGTAAGTACCCCTACTATATAGTGTTGGCACCTGAATGTGGTCCAATCCGACGTTTATCCACCCTTATTAGGCTCCAAACTTTTCCCAATTAGATACTTCCTTTCAAAAAAACACACACTACAAAAACTTTTATGGTCATATAATATTTTATGAAGGACAGTGATATAGAAGGAAGTGATTATCTTTTCAAGTAATGTGTATTACAAGTTTAGAAAGAAAAATTACGTATCTTATCCTAAAACCCAATAACCTTCTTATCACATAATAATTGGGTATTAAAAACTAAAAATAAGAGGGACATGACCTGAGTACGTGATAATTTGAGCAATCATCCATATTCATTTCATACATAAAATATATATATATAAAATAAAAATACATTAAAAAACACCAAGGGAATAAGGAACTTTCAATGCATAGAGCATGGATGCAAATTGCCATAAAAAACATCTCTGAAAATCCCATGGTTGCTGGGTTGCAATGATGCAGTAATAAAAAAATTTCAAGGTCAACCCCTGAACATAATAAATAGGTTCTTCACCATCCTTTTGACGCAACATTAGATTCTATAGTATTTTGAGCTGCCATGGACTCTAAAGAATACATTTCCTTCAACCAGAAAAACACAAGGACATAGAAATTGCCCCGAAACTTGATTTCAAAACATGTCACAGGGAATGAAATTTAATCTCATACATAATAGATTGTCAGGCTAAATCAATCAGGGAAGAAGCGATTTTTATTTTGCATTTGGGTCATGGAATCGCCCTCAAATTCAACGAGTTCCATTGTTAGATGGACAAGACGATAGATAGATTTGAAGTCTCCTTATGACACCATGGAGAGAAAATGAAAATGCAGAGGGATAGTTCACCATAAAATAAGTTGAGAGAATTAACAACAATTTATCCACGTAAATCAGATGAAAGCACAAAAAGATACAGTTTTAAAAGTTACCACTCCTTTCCACCAAATTTAAATAAGAAATTAGGAAGTTCTCAATCGCAGACAAGATGCTCCCCAAACTGAGAAATTAGGAAGTTCTCAATCACAGACAAGATGCTCCCTAAACTGGGAATCAATCGCATTCAAGAAAAGGAAGAAAAAATAAAATAAAATAAAAAATCTAAAGATAATACAAGCTTCTTTATATCTTATCTTTCTTTCTCCTATTCTGGAAATTGGAAAACACATAAAAAAAACACATTCAGGTGCACAATATAATCCAATTGTACCTGCCTGCTCAACAGAATCCATTATTTGTGGTTGCTGGTGCCCTTCTTCTTGAGTAGGCTACTGAACTTCTGAAGCAAAGGTTTCTTCTTCTTTGGACGTTGTTTTGATGGAGGGCTTTCACCATTGTCAAGGTTTTCTGCTGAGGATAAACCATTTAAATGGTCATTGCTCTCAGCACCCTCCACCTTTGAGTCCAGATCCTCTTCAAAGGATTCTTGCTCTTGCTCTTGCTCTTGCTCTTTCTCAGGCAATAAGTCTCTCTCTCCAATCTTACAGGTCTCCCACATCTTAAACTCAACCTCTGCTGAATCGTCTTCTCCTTGTACTTTGCTCTCGTTATCTTCTTTTGGGTTTCCATTTGAATTCTCAACTTTAGCAGTATCGGTATGAACTTCCTCATCACACAAAACATTGTTCTCAATTGGAGGACTTTCTTTTACAGCTCGCTCACATTGTTGGGTTGGAAGCTCCACTTTCAGCTTCTCTTCTCTACCCTTTCCATTCTGCTCGGAAAATTCTACCACCTTTGGAAGCATGTCATAATCTTTTTCACTGTCTGAAAGCTCACCATTTTCCTCAGCTTGCTTTTTGGCCATTGCTTCATTGAGCAATTTAGATAACTCCTCAATTTTCTTAAGAGAAGCAGCTTCTCTTGTTCGAAGCTCCTCGTTCTCCTGAATAACACTCTGCAATTCATTTTCTTTGTCCAGAAAACTTTCCTTCAATCCCATGGTCTCAGCCTTTGCTTCCCCAAGAACTTCCTGCAAATAAACCACCTCAGCTTCAGCTTCCTTCAGAGAGGCCTTTAGCTGAGCTCCTTCAACCTTTGTTGCACAAGCTTCTTCCTCAGCCTCTTTCAGCAAATTTTTCAGCCTGCTTATTTCTTTTCCCATTGAAGAGTTCTCATCTTCTGATTGCCTTACACAGTTCATCAAATGAAGCTCTTTTTGCTTCCACTCAGCCTCAGAATTCTGGAACTCATGCTTAGATTGTCCAATTGAATTATTAAGAATAACAATCTCATGCTTCGCTTCATCAAGCATTGTTTCATACTTCTCATTTGTCGCTTTCAAAACCAACCTCAGATCCTCTATTTGGGCTTCATAACTTTCATTCTCTGCTTGAGTAGACAAAAGCTTTTCTTTGGCTTCTCTCGCTTCTGAAGAAACTTCATGCAAAGCTGCAGCTAAACTTTCCATTGCTTTCTTACTTTTCTCTTCTTCATCCCTGGAATTTTCCAATTCATTTATGAGTTTGTTTTTTTCTTCTAACAGGGTTTGAACACTGGCAGCTGCAAGTTTCTCATTGTTCACGGACTGGGTTTTCTCCTCCTTCACAGTTTCAAGCTCGAACTTTAGACAGTCAACCTTTTTTTCCATTTCAGCAGCTTCTTCCTTGGCCATATGAAGGCGGCGTTCAGATTCCTCAAGATCCCCTCTCTGTCGGCTAATTGAGATTTCCAATAAACCCACTTTCTCTTTAAGAGAAACAATTTCAGATTCTGAATCGTGCAATAAATCATTGCTTCCCTCTAGTTGTTTCATGACCGACTCCAATGACTCTGACACAGATCTCTCCAACCGTTTTGCTTCCTCAGCCCGGGTCTCTAAATCCTCAACCTTTTTCTGCCACTCCTCCACTAAATTGTGTGCATATGATTCAGCCATTTTTGCAGCCTCCAGCTCAACATTAAGTTGTTCTATGGAAGCCTCTTTTTCCACCAAATTCTCCTCATAACTCTTCATTTTCTCAAGTTCTCGCTTCAGAGTCTCTATCTCAGAATTCAGCTGAGAGACCAATCTGTTGTTCTCATTGGCCTCCATTTCAAGCTTGGAATCGTGCAAGGCCTTCAACCGAACCAACTCGGCTGAGAGAATCTCTACCTTCTCAGCATGAATCTCGGCAATCTTAGTTGCATCATCAGCATGGCTAAGGGCCTGGTTCTTTGCATCACAAGTCATGGCCAGTTCCTGCTTAACCCTTTGGATCTCCTGAGTAACAGAGAGAAGAGCAGCCACGTCCAAAGCATGTTGGTTCCTCACAGCTTCAATCTCTTTCTGCCACTCCTCTTCCTTCTTCTGAGATGCCTCAATTCCGGCTTGTTCCATTTCAACAGCCCGGAACTTTTCAATCTCAGAATTTTCTTCGGCTCGTTTTTGAGCCACCAAAGCCTCCCTGAGTTTCTCATTTGCTTCCTCTGCCAATCTTTGGGCTTCTTTTAATTCTTCATTTGCCTGAGCTTTTTCTTTCTCAACCAAAACCAATTTCTCCTGTGCCTTCTTAAGATCTTCCCGAACAAGACTCAATTGAGCCTGTAATTCCGATCCTTTCAATACCCGTGTGGGTTGTTTCTGAAAAATCAAAATCAAGATAGAATGCAAATCAAATGTTACACTCAGTTCACAACTTAGCCATGTCTACTAACAAATAAAAGGATTTGATTTTAAACCTACTCTTTGGAGTTTGAAAACAATTTGTTTGTCCTAATTCTGTCCATGTGAAGTATATGTAATTTAAATCGACTAACAAATAAAAGGATTTGATTTTAAACCTATTATTTGGAGTTTGCAAACAAGTTGTTTATGGAATTTGTGGATA